AACTGGCCTTTGCTGCAGGATGAAGCCCAGCTTGTTTTCCGTAAAGCTATAGTCACAGTGCTTTCTTCAACCAGTCAGTACAACGTTGTTGACCGGTGAGTCCTGCGCTGGCTGCCAAAGTGCTGTAACTTGGGCCTGAAGGAAGCTCACCTGACACATAGATTTCTTTTCAGACACATCATAGCTCCCTGTGCTCCAGGTGGCTCAGCAGCTCTTCAGTACTGCATGGGGAGCTGCTTGCAACCAGGAAATGAACAACAAGAAGCACACAAAAATGAAAAATGTGACACCACAGACTGCAGAAAGGCTACCAGGTTACAATCTGAGGGCTGAGCCAGGTGTGTTGCTGTAGTGGTTGACTGACTGTGTCAACTTGAAACATTTAGAAGTTTAAATGGGTTTAGCAACTGTATGCCCTAGGGTGTATGAAATCCACCTTAGGGTGGCTCATCACCTGGAGGTATAAAAGGCAAGGAGGAAGGACTATACCGCATTCCATTCTTGGGAGAAGCTTCAGTCTTTGCCTTTGGTTTGGACCTCGTCTCCTGGCTTCCAGTGTAGACTCTTCAGCTTTCCGGCACAGACTCTTTCAGCCTTCCATCATAGAGCCTTCGGCCTTCTGTCGCAGACCTACCAGCCTGCTGGTGTGGACTTGCATAAGACAGTAGGATGGATTCCAGACCTTGGATTGGATCCTTTGGCCTTCAGTGTGTAGATACTCTCTGCAAGCTTCCTCATCCAACTTGGGGTGGATTGTTATGGATTTAAAAACTGATCAACTTAAAACCTGAATTAAATCAGCATGGTGCTGAATATACATGTTCCACCTGAGGAACACAAATAGAAACGTGGAAACGCCAGCATAAATAGAAACGTGGAAAAGGAGAAGCTAGGCGTTGTGGGTTCTATGTGTTGCTATTTGAGTCATTGGTCCTCCTTGAGGAGCTCATCATGACTAGCTTCCCCAATGTGAATTTGACCACTATCATTGGAGAAGCTCCGGACCTTGTTAGTGAGAGTGGCGGTGGGTTCACTTTGGGGGAGCTCTGATCCTTACATTGAGCATTGCTTCCTAGCTATGGAGGGGAAGATATACGTCGCTTAATCTCCAGGAAAAACTCAGCTTGCTGGCCTCCTGGCATGTACTCAACTGGGCTTATTGTCAGAAGAGTTGGGGTCCTCCATGTCTCTGAGGATGGCTGTGGTGCTTCTCAGGACAGCCCTGGTCTTTATTATGAGTGGGACTTCTCGGCTGTATTGTAGAACCCTCAACCTACCAGCACAGCTCCTTCACCCCCACTCTCATAGACTTTCTAGCTTCCACTGTTGATCTCTGGGCCTTCTCGGCACAAATCTGTAAAACAGACTGGAGTCCTTCTTGTGGGCTATAGATCTCCAGTTGTACTCATGGGAGGCATTGTCTTGGGCTCTAGGTCTTCATCTGGACTCATGTAGGACACTGTTGTGGGATCTAGGCCCTTGGATGAATATTCTGTCTTTAGTGCTGTGGATGGATATCCTGCACTTTCTTGTGTTAATTCTGGATGATCATCATAAAATAATAGTATAAGTTCTTTGTCCTGATTCTAATTGTTCTATCTTATCAACCCCTGACTTTTCTTATCAACATTTGCCTTTTCTGACTGCAACTAAGAAAGTGTGTGCTGGGTGATTCCAACTATTCTGTGCTCAGCATGTCAATGAATGATTACAAAAACATCTCAAATGTTCACTTTGAGATTATAAACTTTGCAGTAAGGAAATTTGTAAACATGAAACCTTAAATCACAAGGATAGTTTGGTAAACACACAATTGGACAGCTATTAAACAAACCAGATGATGTTCAACTTCACAGTTACCTTATAAAATCTAATATAAAATTACCACAAATCACTATGCCAATTACTCTTGAGCATAAGACAGTGACAAAGTCTTCAGCTCCAGTAACACCTGCACTTAACGATGATCTCCATGTGCTGGTGGGACCTCCATGTGCTGGACCCCTTGGCAGTGGTGGAGGTCCAGGGGCCCCTCCTGGGGGACACGCCCACCTACAGCTCTACTTTCGGTCTCTGGCCTTAGAGGACTCATTCTCGGGTACACGGAGACACAGGACCAGGTCTTCTGAGATGCTTGTTCCAGCAACCAAGTTCTTTCCTGAGCAGGCAGTGGGGGCCTGTAGGAGCACTGACTTACAGATCTGAAAATGAGGACTAGACAAATCTGTGTGGGTTATATGGAGTTTTTGGATGGAAAATCTTCCTCATTCACATCCAAAAATCTGGTTCTGTGAGACTCACTGAAAGGATTTTGCCTTAGATGGGACACTGTAGCCGGTGGGAGGCTGAGAGGCCAAACCAAGAGGCTCTATCTTGAGGTCACCTTTCCTGCCCCTATGCAATTTATCTGTGGTGCCAAATGGATACCAATGGGCTACCTGTGCATCACTAATGCCCCTTAGGCACCACCTCAAACCTAAGCTACATGTATGCCTCCACACAACATGTCTGGTGGAGAGAATGCCAGACCCTGGAGGTCATGCAATCTCTTCCCACATTCTTAAAATAAAGGCCACTTTTATTTCATACTTCTTATCTTTTTAGCTGCGCCAAAAATTCTATCAGATGGTTCCCTGACCAGAACAGCAGGTGAGAGACTGCTGGTGAGTCCCCTGCCGTTCACAGATCTGACTGCATACTGGATTAATTCCTCACTTCTCCACATGCAGGAACTGCTAAACTTGTTGCTGCTGGCTTACAAATAACACCGGTCTAATTCATTTACCCCTGGTGAGCAAACTCCGGAGATTACTTGGTACTGGGCCAGGCCTCACCTAGGTTTTCTTCCCATTCCCTAGACTCGTGTGGTGCTCTCACGTCCTTAGACAGCCCTGAGGCAGAGCTTTCACAGTAAGCTCTCATGTCCCTTAGAGCCTTTAAGCTCTCATGGGCCGAGTTGTTACTGTAATCCATGGGAATTCCACTCGTGCCTTTGGTGACCACCAAGAAACACGAGCTGTGGAACCAGTTACTGATTACCGTTCGGTCTAAGAGGTTAAAAGGTGACGACCTGACCTGGTTAGACCACAGTCTGTTGCCTCACCTGACTGTGACTCCTTGGGCCACGCCCCACACTGGATTTTCTTATCTTGAGGATCACTTCCTGTCCCCCCTCAAAATCATACCTATTTATAGCTTATCACATTGATGACAAGTTTGCAAAAACTCTCCATCTTTGGGCCTTTATTTTAAGAATGTGTCCTTCTCTCCCTCTGCTCCTCCAAGATCTCTCCTCCTCCCCACCTTAGGAGATAGTATAGCGTCTTTCTTTACAGCTTTTCAAAGCTTTTTCAGCGTCCTCCTTTCCTCCCCACTTCACCCATTTCTCAGTCCCTCCCCACCGACCCACCTTTCCCGCAGGGATGGGGGAGATACATGCAGACAGCATTGGGCTGCCCGCATACACGGTGCGCCTGGCCTGTGTGGGCTGCTCTGGGCCCTCACACCATGCCCCATCTCTGTGCCCTGCCACCCTGCATGCCCTGCCTACTCTTCATTCACCGTCCCCCACCCTGGGCACTTCACCCACCCTCCATGTTCTGCCCCGCCCTACGCACTCTGCATGTCTCCTAAGCAGTCCCAGCCCCAGCCCTGGAGCCCAAGCGCAGCTCTGAGTGCCAGCATGGAGAAAGAGACAACAGGTCGCAGCGGACAATTCATGTTGCTGGTCTGATAGTATATTCATGCTTTCAAATATAAAATTTGGATTTTTTTCTGCTGCCTTTTTCTTGTGTTCCAGCCAAGAGATACAAATCAGACCAACATGAGTAAACCAATTAAATAATAATTTTAAACAAAAATTTATGTAATGTATGATGACAAATGTTTTCTTTCACATCCAGACATACGCTTAGAGATGTTTCAAAACTTCAGCATTCAAATGTTAAAACACTCGTGGGTGATTTAATGTTCTATGTTAAGCTTACTGCCTATATTGTACTGTACTGTTATCAATCTAGATAACATCTAGAAAGATGTTTAACAACTGAAATTAAGAGATAATTATAAATTCCTTTCCTTTTGCTGGGAACCACTAGATCTTTTCCAGAAAAAAAGGCTATATGATGCATGCAAAACAACAAGACCAACACTGGGACGGAGGCTAGGCTTGAGCCTTTTCCAGCCTGTCCGCCTGCCCTGGCTCTGCCTTCCACTGAGCCATAATTAACTGTATTCAACTGGTGTTAAATGACACCATAGCTGATTTCTCTCCTAAATAAAAAGGTAAAATTAATAAAACAGGCCATCCTCCAAAAATCAGATGGCATTAGACATTTTAACAGCATAAAGAGATACTTACATAAAGTTATAATCATAAATACCCTATTGACTGTAGCATTTGACTCCTGCATACTTAATTAATTCTACAGATACCTTCTACTGTGGACCAGATCCCAAGACAAAAGGCTAAACTTGGCCCTCAAACCCCACAGGGAGACCTTCTTAATATGGCTTTTCATGTTTTCAACAACAGAGATAAAAAATAACAATCTGATCTTTTAGCAGTGATACTTGGGAGTCCTGAGACAGGTAAACGGACACAAGGTGGAGCTGCCTGAGCCCCTTCAAGACCATGCCTCGAATGCAGCAGAAAGACATTGGGTAAGAGAGTGCCCCATTCCTTTGAGACCTTACCCCAGGGCTACTGAAAGGACTTCTGGGCCCTGGCGGTCTGCTGTGTATGTCTAGACTTCATTCAGTTGCCCTGTATGGTCATGCTCACTGAAAGTAACTAACAACTTTTGTTTTTATGACATTTCTTCTTTACACAAAACATGGAAAATGTAAAAGTTCCCATCCCCGAACAAGCACACTGCCATCTCATTAATCAGTAGTGAACACAGCAAAGTATTGGAGTGTTCTGGGTCTAAAACCTGGATTCTTATGTAACAGATACCCTCAGGGCATCAGAAAATGGCCCAAGCCAAGCAGGTACTTACTGAAAGTTATGATTTGGGCTGTGCGTTGGACCTGAAAGGACAAAATAGAGAGACAAGTTATGGAGAGCTCAAGACCTGGCAAAACCCATCCCCAGTCAAGCTGGGACAGGAGCCCAGGGGTTCATCTGTGGCCGGCTGCCTTCAACTTGGGCTCTACTCTGCTTGTGAGGAGTCCTAGTGATACCAGAAAGGCAAGGCAAGGGCCCCTTTCTGTTTATACATACTTCGGGAGACTATTTTGGAGTTTCTGTTCTCCTTTCTCCCTTCTCTTGTCTAAGCTTTATACACAGAGATGAATGGTTTTGTCAACTGGAATGGCATGAGGTGGATTTGGATGACAGGCTGGGCACATTCATCACCTGGGGCTAAAGGACACCTTCTGTCCTGCCATGTAGTCCTTCGTCACAGATGAGGGCTTGGAACTTCAAAGCTGTCATCACTCTGACCCCCGGCCCAGCTGAGCCAGGTGTGCGTGGGACATAGCAGGCAGGACCTGGCAGAGGCTCCGGCAGGCCAGCCTGGACCAGCACAGAAGACTCCTGCCCTCCAGTCTGCAGGTCTCTGCTCACCTTGCCCACGGTGGGTCTCTCCTCTCTACTCTAGGTTCACTGACTGCTCTGTTTGTAGCTGTTTTCTTTTAGTATAATAAATGGGTAGGGGACAAGCTGAGATCTTACCCACAAAGGGAGGCCTGCACTGATTTCCTGTCACACTTTGTGTGTTCAGTTTCAAACAGCAAATTAATCTCTTTCTCACTATCTGTGGATGCTCCTTTCTGTCAACTTGTAAGCAAACAGCCTGACTCACCGAGCCGCACGTAGAGGACACCGGTGGCAGTAATGGTCTTCACGCCATTGGTGGCCACGCACTGATAGTAGCCGGTGTCTGTCGTGTCCAGGTCTTGGATTCTCAGTCGAGAGCCGTATTCTGTCTTCCTGATAATGATCCGCCTGGGCTCCTGCACAACTGGGGCGTCGTTCTTCAGCCACCGCACGTTGGGGGGAGGGTTTCCTGCCACCTTGCAGTGCAGAATTGCTGTCTGGCCCTGGACAATGGTGATGTTGTTTACTGGCTCCAGAAAATTCAGATAGTAACCTGCCAAGGAGGGGTCACAAAAGAGCAAATATCAGCAAGGGCTGGGAGGCCCCGTGCTCTGCATGGATGACTATGGTGTGCTGGGGAGGTTTCTAGGTTCCCTCATCTCTGCACACACAGCCAATGCCAGTTGTAGGCAGTGTCTGCTGTGAGCGCTGAGCCAGTGAACATGAGCTGCAGAGGGAAGCAGAGAGCTTCCTGTGGCATTTGTTCACAATGTTTTGTCCATCAATTAACATATAACTTGTTTCTGCTGAAGACCTGTTATTTAACACGTGGTATTGATTCATTTTCATAGAGCTTACAGACAACTGGATTACCACTCATGTATGAATGAAGTTTCTCTAACACACATATTTTCAATGGAAGGAACACCAGACTATACACACTGGACTGTGCCTAGGGGCTTTAAATCATAGGAATCATCAACAAAAAAGGACAAAAGTCCCAACAACGTGACACTAAATAGGCCAAGGAAAGGATGTGAGTTCATAGCATGAAAGACAAAACTAGGAAGCAATGTTACTTTGTTCAACCACAGCTGGGAACATGGTCTCCTGTCACCACACAGAAGCAGCCTGTGGACGACCTTGCCCATGCAGGGCACAGTCCATGGCCCTTCGCAAACATGGAACCATGCAGGATTCATTTAGTTTGGAGCTAAAATGGCCCAAAGCCTCATGTGGTCAGAAGATACCTGGGGTGGGGTGCAGGAGCTGACCTGCTTTACCAGACTAGGGTCCGGATAGGAGAAGGGGCCTGGAACACAGGGGTTCATGAAGTGGAGCCTGCATCTTTCTGGCAGACTCTTCACTCTGGAGCCCACAGATGTGTCCACATCTGTTCTGTGGGCACATGGTCACATTACCTGTTAGCTTTTGTATTCTGTCCTATTTGCATGACACTTTTGGACTCCAACTCTGTGTAGACAAGTTCTTCCGGAAGACCCAGGAAAAGGAGGCTACTTCCTAAGGCTGGAAACGTTGAACTACCTGAGTGGTCTCTGCTGTATTGGCCCAGGGCCAGTACAAGTCTTCCTCCTCCCTCCTCCTGGCTCCTGGGTTCTTCCCCATCCATCTTGCAAGTTCATATAAGCATTTACATCTTTTATTAATTTTTTTTCTAGCATATATGTGTGATTGACATGGGAGAGCTGCCAAATCAGATTGATCCACCACTTTGACCCTCATCAATTCTCTTGGGCCAAAAATGAAAAGCTGGAAAGAAAGTTCTCAGCAGAGGAAGAACAATATTCCTTTCTCCTGTGGTATTTAATTTATAGTCAATCATTTAACCTCTCTGCTTAATTTCCCTCATGTGCAAAATATGGAGCTTGTACTAACCATTTTCTAAGCTCTCCTCTAGCTCACAAAAACTTCCTTTAGAGAGGCCCCAAACCTCTCCAGACACTTTAACAGGCTAAACAGAGCCAGGCATGGCTAAGAATTTCACTACCGTGTATCCAGCCTGGGCTCCACAGTGGTAGCTCTTGCTAAAAGTCTTCCCTTTCAGTTGATCCAAGTGAATCCCACTTCCCAACAATGATGAAACTTTTAACAACTGATGCTAAAGTTTCTTCCTCCCCAGTCCCCTGGCCACCTCTGTGAACTCCAAGCTCCGGACAGTGGAGCCGAGTCCAAGCATTAACTTATCCTGGAGAATTCCTTCCTGCAGGGCTGCCCACAATCGCAGTCAGATCAATGATTAATGATTTTTATATCCCAACCCACCATCCGAATAGTCGACATTGTGGTCACATTACTTTAGGTGTTTGAGGATCTGCTTATTTACAGGCCTGGTTGGCTGGGAAAGAGATAAAGAAAGCCTTTTGTACAAGGGGTCATGAGGTCATAGGGCTTTGACTGGCTGGAAATAAAACAGACAAATTTTCTGGAAGGACAAGTAAAAAGGAGACCTGAGAGCAGCAGGAAGGATATAAGGTCACTCTTCCCTGGGAAAAATATTTACAGGTCAATAAATCAGCAGCAGGCAGCAAGCAGGGGGCACTGAACTAAGGCTCTCGTACTGGGTAAACTTGAGGTGCACAGAAACCCAGCTGCAGGCTGCTGGGCTGCTCATTGCATCCTGAAGGCTCTGGTTGCTTGTTTCCACCACAGAAATGGTGGGAGAGGTATTTTCTGGCACCTCCGGGAGGCTCCATCAAAACTTCCTCGGAGGTCACCTAAGACCCAGTTAGAGCCAGTGAGCCCTGCGGGCTGAGATGACCCAAGACAAGCCATGGTCTCCGCATTCTCCTGCCCACCCCTCCTCACCTTGCTTCGGTGGGCTGCTCCTCTAGAGCAGTCCTGGTGAACAGGGCAGGCAGGAGGACCTCTACCCATAGCAGCTGAGGCCACAGACTGAGACCAGGTCAAGCCACAGCCCTTCAAGTGGCCTTTGTGCATTGTGAGCAGAGGATCAGAGCACAAGGGGTGCCTGGAAAGAGTCCTTACCCTAGTGGCACCATTGTCCCACACACTGACTGCCTGTGCCCAGCTCCTGCCCAGCGCGTGCCAAGCTTGAGCTGGATGGACTCCATGGGGCCTTGGCTGGACTCCTGCCCTGTGTCCTCTCAGTGTTCTCAATCTAGGTACAAAGCCACCACCACTCACAAGCCACTTACTCTCCTCCAGTACCTTTGCCAGGTCTCCCCCCCCCCCACTCCCTCCTCATCTACTCTGGAGCTCCAGGGGAACAGAGACCGCATCACCTCATCCTGTGGTGACTGCAGTGTTGGGGCTCAGAAAATTCCACCCCAAAATATGACTGTGGGAACCAAATACACCATATCAAAATATTTTTTTCTTTTTTATTTGATGTGTTTTGTTTTGAGCTGGTTATTCAGAGAAACTACAGCCTAAAGTGTAGCTCTGAAAAGCAGTCTTCTTGTAAAAGAAATCTGGATCTCAAAGACAGTCTGCACTAGCAGAGTCCAGTCCTACCCTGCACACACTTCAGTCAACAGCAGGTATCCATGGTACTCTAGCACCTGGAGACACTTGCACACTGATGAAAAGCTGAAGGCACAGCCCACGGACACAGTGCGCCACCATCACAGACAGATGAAAGTGTGACACTGAGATGAAGGTGACCGGGCAACCACAGAGGTGGACACAGGCAGACGCTCTCTATGAGCTCCCCATCTATAAGGAGGGATCCTCCAGGGGAACTCAGTTGTCACAAATGCCTTCCTCTGGGATTGTAACCAGGGAACATTAAAGCGACTATAGGCGAGCAGTACAGGGTGACGTTACACCCAAATGGACTGCCACAGCCCTCGGCCTCCTCTTCCTCCCTTAGTCCCTTTCCTCTCACCTAGGCTGCCTCTTTCCTTGTCCCTGCTCCCCAGGAAGAGGGTGTAACATCTCCCTCTCACCAGGAGGTGGAGAATCTGCCTTGCTCTCTCCATGTGCAACTACCACCTCTGCTTGTTCTCCTGTTGTCTCCTGTTAGCTTAAACTGAGACCCAGACACAGTGCCTAGGAGAGGGAGAAGCTATTTCTCCTTCTGGGATACTACAGAACCAACATCTGACTCTGGGGGCTTCTGTGAGCCCTTGCTGAATACATGGAGACAGAGTTCGGGCCATGTCCTGGCAGGAGCTCGCCCTCCTTTGGAGTAGTGACCACCCCGATTCCTGTGCACACCTGCACCTCTGCATTCTTCATGCTACTCTGCTTTTGGCTCCGTGTGTCTCGGCTCTGCTGGTGACGAAGGCACAAACTCACTCCCTTAGCAGGGAGAGAATGACAGGAACCAGAATGACCCACTGCGTGGAGCACCTGAGCCACTGCCCAATGGTACTGCACTCCCCTGTGTACCCTTACTCAGGTCCACGCCACCCTCCATGGTCTCTGGGAAGCTCAGCCTCACCTTTGTTTACTCTCCACCTTGTAAAATGCAAGGAATCCAGGGGACAAGCCTCGTCCACAGGGTGGGGGGATGCTCCTCAGTGCAATTCACTGAGAGCCATAGCACATGGGTGGTGGCCCCTTCTGCTGCAGGCACTTGGACAGGCCTGGTTTAGGGAGTGTCCCTCTGTTTAAGGGGACAACAGCACACGACGACATTAAGGACAAACATCCGTGGCATTGTGTAGATGAAGAAACTAGAGCTCAGAATGTCTGGGTGACTGGCTAGGCAGGGGCCAGGCGCCAGACTCATCACACTTGGTCAGCAGCCACATCCAGTTCTCACAGAAACCACAGATGCCATGTGACCACCTTCCACTGAGATCCTACTCTCATTTCCACCTGGCCAGCCTTAGAGAGCTTCACTCTGCTACATCTAAGAAGCCACCACCCCAGACACACACACATACCCCAAGTTCTGGCAGGAACCACAAACTCAGTGTTTTGCCCATCAGTGCCTCAACCTATACCAATCAAAAAGCTGACAATCAGGCACTATCTCCATGGCAACACAGCACCCTCCTTGAACTGTTTCACCGACTCTCCCCAAGGAAAGTTTGGTTCAGCACTCCCCACTCCCCCGATTACACATGGGTGGGTAGCCTGCTAAGTACAAGGCAAGTGAGCATGGATTTCCTACTCTGTTATTGAGAACCCATTTGAGATTACCTATAATTGCAACCTGTCCTCCTCTGGGGAACCTCAGAACTCTCCACTCTGGTTTTAACGTAGACACAAACAGTTCTCCTAAGACGGGAGACCCAGCACATTGCAGCTATTTTGGTTGAGCTAGAATACAGGAGGCCACCAGACAAGCATGATTAGCTCCACCCCATCTCGGCATGCAGAAATGATCCACTTCCCACAAACATTCCAAAGGACTGATTTTACAGAACACGAGCTGTATTACACATGCATTTAAAATATAGCCTTAGTACAAAAAAGCAAGTAGTTTCTAGGCTAAATTTGGGCTTTGGTAAGTAATGCAATGATAACATGTTGCATATATGCTTGTGTATTGCCCATCTAATAGAACACAGAACACAAAATTCCTAGTCAGCATCTACCCCTAAGCTAACCCAGAGCTCAGACTGGAGTCCTGAGGCAGTCCTTGTCTTGACAATGACAGCACTTTGCAATGTGGAAATTTACAGTGATCTTTTCATCTGTAAATCTGCACACTTTTTGGCTCCAGGACTTACCCTGTCCAGCTCCCAGCATTCTTTCTCCACTCTTTACTCTACGCCAAATCCCAGCCAGAGTCACCCCTCAGTATTTCCAAGGGGACTCTCCCACAGAGACTAAGCTCTGTGAGTATTCAAATCGCTGATGTGAAGCAGCAGTGTCTGTGTGTGACTTAGGCACATTCTCCCTACACGGCAGTGCCTGGGCTTATGAACTTAATTCACTCTATGATGCTGCTCACAGGATTCTGTAATTTGAATCATCTGCAGATTAATTACAATGCGCAATACAGTGTAAATGTTGTATTAAGAATTGTTTTATTGTACTACTTAGGGAATGAGCAAGAAATAATTGTCTGTACATGTTCAGTTCAGACAGTTTTAAAAAAATATTTTTGACCCACAGTAGGTAGACTCCTTGGGCATGGAGCTCCTAGACACTGAGGGCCAGCTGTGAGTACCGCATATCTGAACCTTTACAGCTGCCTCACCCTCTACTCTGTGGGGACAAGGCAGAACAGCTGGGCCCATTTCACCTGTCCAAATTGTACAGATGTGTGTGCTTCATGAATGATCACTGGGCTAAAGACACAGCCAACATTGTACCTTCAACCAGTTCTGTTCTGATTTCAGCTCCTTAAGACCACGCAGTGACATTCCCAGAGCATTGTCAGTCTAGACCCTATTCAGAGTGGCGCTGTCAAGTCAATTTTCCAACACTAGTAGTGGCTGGCTGTGGGCAGGTGGCACAAAGGAAGGAAGGAGTAAGCATCCTTTTATAGAAGAGCCATAACTCCACAGAGGATGGAAAATCACATGACACAACCAGGAAATAAGATTGTAATGGGAAGACTGGGGTCCTCGAGTTTCCTGTGGATCCTGTCACTCTGCCCATGGAAAATGACAGACCCAGTGTCAGGATGGCAATGCTCTGCATGGCTCCAGCATCAGCCACACCTCTGGGTGCCTGCTGTGCGCTACTAAGTAAAGCTTTTCTTGCTCGCTAAGGCTAGGGAGGCTGGGTCTGACCAGTCCTGTGCCTAAAGGCCCAGTCCCAGGGCATGACTTGGGTCACCTCCAACAGGCACATCTTCTGCAAAGTGGATGTTACACTACGTGTTGCACCATGTACTGCTATATAGACACTGCAAGAAATATGGCCAGGGGACCCAGAGTTCTCTGCTTTCTCTCTGCACTTCCTCTTTATAAGGATATATGTGTACACACATGCAGGAGTATGCATGCTTTCTTGACAGTTACCTTCCGCAATCAGTCTTTCTGTACCCTGGAGAGGTTCAAGGCAAACTTCCAAACTCTGATTAAAACTCCTCTCCTCACTTCAGCCTCACAGAAACATTCAATCACTGGTGGGTTAACAACAGAAACAGGAGGCAATCAAGCCCCAAATAAAGAGCCCATAAGAAAGCATACTCTTCGAAGCCTGAGCAGTTGCTCAGAGACCAAAAAGGAACATCAAGGAATCCCAGCCTAAGGCTCTGAATTGTTCTCATAAATGTTTGGAGCTTACAGCTGGATGAGTACAAAATTTCTATCAGGTTAGCTCACGGTCATTTCTATACCTCCATTAACAAATGCAACTTCCATGGAGGTGAGCCATGGATGTCTACCTCACCAGGCATACTTATGGTGATGGTATTTAAACAGAGCCCCATCTCCACCACAGCCAGACCCAGGCCCACAAGGGTGCCCTTGCATCTCTCTATGGGCAGGCTACAAGTTCGCAGTGGATCACAGCACAGCTGAGGTGCATTTTCCAGGAGTGATGCAGCCACATAGGAGACTGCACATAGAATTCCTATCACAGCCCAGGTTGGACAGCCTCACTTCTCTCCCCAGCACCCTCTGCTTCTCCCCCGTCAAGCCATGGGCCATCAGGAGCACATTTTTATTGAGTGAATTAAATCCTACACCTCCCAGGCCGATGTCTGTGACAACTATCAGTAAAATACACATTTCTCTACCCCCTGCCCCCAAACCTGGGCAGGATGCAGCCTAGCTTGGCCCAAGGGGACTTCCTGTGTGGCTGGAATGTTCTAGATCTGTGCCAGCTATTGTGGGAGCTGCTAGCTGCACACATTCAGCTAGGATGAACTCAACTGAGGAGCTGAGTTCCTAATTTCATTTTTGCTGAGAAGCTTAAAAGTATCCCATGTGCCTGCCAGCTTAAACCACAATGCAGGCCAATCCTGCGGACCCCTGCTCCTCCCATCAGCCATGCCACTCCCTGCCACGTGTGCAGGGCAGCAGGTCTGTCTGCCCCCAGCCCTTGCTTGCATGGGACACACACTCTCCTGCTGCTGTCACCTGGCAACATCCACACTTCAGATCTTGGTATGACAGCCTGTCCCTAAATCTGCTGTGGCTTCTTCTTCCAGATCTCTTTCCTTGGGGCATTCACCAAATGAAACTCTGGCACATCTGACAGCTGTCCCTTAGGATGCCTGCTGTCCTCTGTTCATAAACTCTGCAAGCCAGAGCTCACAGTCTGCCGCAAGGCCCTGGGATGGCCGGGGCATGAGGAAGGGTATCATTCAGTGAATGACTCTGGACCATTTGTGCTGGGGTCAAATCAGGCTCTTGAGAAATGTGATGACAATCAAACTGTCAAAAGACTTCCTTCCTCAGGATGTTTCTCACCAAGACTTTAGTTCTCGGCCACTATGTCCATGGGGTGGCATGAAACCTGGCCAAGGCTCCCACAGACACACAGCAGACCACGTGTGCCGGGCACACATCTCCTACAGATCTCTCCCACAAGCAATCAGCATGGGACAAGAACCACTGAGTGAGGGCTGCCAATGGCTCTGTGCAACCCTCCCTGACATCCTCCAGGGGGCGCTGCTTGAAGATGCCCCAGATACTCCCCCTGCCTCTCCCCCACAAGGAGTGGAGTGAGCTTTGATTCAAACCACTGGCCTGGGTGGGGCACAGCTCAGGGATGGAGAGCTTATGGCGTCAGGAGGCCTCAGGTCCACCTCCAGCAGCACAGGCATGTGTACTCACATACCGCTGACCTTATATACTGGGAAGCAATTGTGAGGTGCTACAGTTCGGGTATGAACCCCAATTCACATGGGAGGGATCAGGATGAGATAAGGTATTTAGCGTGGGGCCTCCCCGATGGCACAGGGCTTCCCCAAGAAAGAGAAGAGAGCGTGGGACTGGCGCACTTGCTCTTTCTTGCTGTGTGTTGCCTTGGCCGCACTCTGACACAGTAGAGGGCCTCACCAGACACCAGCGCTGGATCCTGGCCTCTAGCTCCATGAGCCAATATCCCTTCGTGCTTCATAGACTCGCCAGGCTGTGGTGGGAACAGAGAACTAAGACCGACCCACTGGTGCTCCTTTCAAACCCACGTGCCTGTGTGGAGTCCAAAACAGGGTTTTCAGGTGGGTTCAGATGAGGCCACGGGGGTGAGGTGATGGCATGCACATCCCTGTAGAGGAACTGGAGGGTGCGTCTTCTCTTGTCTGCCATGTGAGGGCCGTGGGAAAAGGCAGGCTCCCCCTCTGCAAGGTAGGAAGAGGGCTTTCCCCATGCTTGCATCTGATCTCGAACTTTCAGCTTCTGAATCAGAGAAAGTGACTGGAGGCCTGTGATGACCAAGGCACTTTCCAAAGGCATGGTGACAGCATGTGAGTCGGGGGAGGGTTATAGCCTCAGGCAGCTGGTTTGCCTTGTTCTACCAGCTCTGCAGATAGGATGTCCACAGTGCGAACAAGGTGCCACAGCACATTTCCCAGAAGGGCGGAGGCAGCCAGGGCAGGACCCATCCTGAAGGCAGCATGGAGAAGCACGCACACCCCGCTGAGACCCACATACCTCTTCACCACCAGTGCCAGAAGAGTGAGTACAGCTCCCCAGTTACCCTTCTAGTCAAGCAGCAGCATCCAAGGGGCGTTCCACATGCCCACCAACAGGGAGCAGCACTGGCCAAGTCAGCACTGTTAATTCAGCCAGGCCCACCCCAGCAGGAAGAGCAGACCAACTGGCTACCTATGTTTTGGAAACTTGAAAAGACTACTGCTCTTCCCAGCTTACCTTTCAGAGTGGGAATGGGACCTTCTTGTCCGTCAAGATATCCCAAAGGGTCACTGGGATCAGGCATTTCCACCTCACCTGGAAAGAAGAACACAGCACACACATTAAATGAGTGCTCTCTTCAGGGGCCTTTGACTTGCTTCTTAAACAGACTGAGTTAGAAGGGTGAGGCATATGGTGACCCTAGAGGGGCGCGCAGCTCCAAAGGTGATACACAGTACCTCACACAGCGCAGCCAGGCAGTGCTCTGCAGCACAGACAGAAAGTTAACCCTTGAGCAAGGCCAAGGGTCCTAGGGGAAGGGTAGCTAGGAATGAGAGTAAGGAAGAAACGCAAGCACTGGCTGCCAAACACATTACAACAGAGACACAGGCTGCTTTCCAGAGTGAGATGCTGGGAATCAGTGGATGGATTCGGATTCGAAAATTTCTAAGGAATTCATCCCCTGGCCCAACCCCAAACCTACAGCAGCAGCTGTGTGCACCTCTGTTCCTCTGTGGTAAATGGCATAAATCTGCTCACCTTCACAACTGGATCCAGTCCCTCCCAACACACTCAGGTGCCTGCGTGGCCTCAGCCCCGGCCCCAGCCCTGGTGTCAGCAGGAACAGTCAGCTCGCTGGACACCAATGCCCAGCAGGGGCTCTGCACCCAGACTCTGGACAGGACCATGAGGGGCCCAGCCTGTGTCCAGGGGAGGCTACCCTTATCTTCCAACTGGCCCCTCCTCATGCATCTTTCCTCCCAGGCTTCACCCTTCACCAGGGTGCAGGGTCAGGAATGGGGCAGTCAGGGGATTTGATGGGCACCTCCTGGAGAGAACTGGGTTTATGGCATCAAACTCCTGGCAGAGCCTGGTCCAAACCTGGGCAGAGTGTCATTCACTATTACAGGAGATTTTGGCAAGGCCACAGACACAGAAGGACAGATACTCTGTGATTCTACTCATAGGAGGGCCCTCAAATGAGCATATTTACAGAGATGGAAGGTAGCACAGTGCTGACGGCAGCCTTGGGGAGCTGTTCAATGGGGACACAGTTTCACACAGGGGGATGACATATCTAGAGCTGGATTGTGGAGATGGGTACACAACAATGTGATAACCCTTAGCACCACTGAACCATACACTTAAAAATGCTGAAGATGGTGAACTGGATGCTTTATGTCTTTACCATGTGTTTACACATACATTTGAAAAGTCTACCAAAGGCAAGTTTATAATTCACTATTGGGTGACTCTGCTTGGTTAATAAATAAAAGCTGAGAATTAACAAACCACTGGGGTACCTCCGATGCCTCTAAAGAAGAGGTCTTGCTTGGAAAAGCTCAGGTCTAATTAAGAAGGGGAGGTAGTTTTCAAACACAGTCAGGCTGGCCAGGAGCCTCCAGCTGCCCGGCTAAGTAAACACTGGCTGCCCAACCCTGAGACCACTCTGGAGTCTCTCAAGCAGGTCCTCTCATGCTCTCTGGTCCTGTGGTGCCTGAATCACGTGGCTCAAAAAGTCTATACTGGCCTTGGTTCCCTGCCATCCACAGGGCAAACTTGTTTCTGAATGCAACAAGGGTTTTCAGTTCTTCTCATCTGGCCCAAACTTCCCCACGACACCTTGCATACAATGTTCCTTACTACTCAGAAGCAAAGTCCTTATATGGAAAGTCCTCAAATGAGTCCCCTCCCTAGGGTAATCCCAGCATTCTCTCCTGAGCTAATAACTGCATGGGTTTTCATCCTTCAATTGGTCAAGGAAAGCTATGAAGGTTGGTCAACAAATTTTTTGCTAAAAAAAACTAAAGACCTAAATCTGGATTCGAAGTTTTAAATTGGCATATTACATGTACTGTCACTATGCACTGTTTAATTGTAGAGACCACATGAAATCAAACATACTTGTACAGTGTACACGTACATTGAAAAGAGGCATAAAAACTACTAACTGCTTAGAAACAGACAAGTTCTGTGAAACAGTCAAATAAATATCCATCTTAAAGAAAAATAAGCTCTGGTGCCCTGGTTCTGTGGTGAAGAATGGCAGGGCGCCTATGCGCACACGCACGCCTCCTCATTACCATCACGAGGGCTGCGGGTCTGGGACCCTGCCGCTGCCCATACTCGTAGGTTTGATTTCTGTTTCACCTCGCTGCTCTTCTCAGAAGGAGTGTCTTACCCATATCTTTAGACAAACCGGGTGACATTTCCAGCCCGCTATGGCCACGAGCACTGGGACTTGAGGGTGACCACACTGTGATGAGAGCACTTTCCTTGGTGGGACAGACACGCCTGGGTGCCCACTGGCTGAGAGCCTTGTAATTGACCAGTTCCAACAAAGCCAGGCTCTGCTATTATCTGCTGAAAGCACATGATTTATATTTTGAAACTGAAGAACCAGAGATGCAATTTAGGGCAGGATGGCTGGCCTCACTGAGGACACTGGTGCCTCCTGACCTAGACCGGCGACATGAGTTGGGCAGGCTGTGAATGAGGACAACAGGACAGGTGAGGAGCGGCCCTGTGCTTTTAGAGATTCCAAGAGGGCTCCTCTTGGCCCTAAAAAGGGTAAGTATAATGTAAGGAAAAAATAATCAAAATATCAACAAAAATTGCTCCCTCTACATGTACACATTGAAATATCACCATTAGTCTGGTGTTATAATTACCATATTTAAATTTCTCCTTTTACTTTATTTTTAAATGTATCTACAGTAAACAAGTGTCAAATTTTATCGCACTACAATTCATACACTATAAAATTTCAAGATTTTTCATGTTAAAGTGTATAATTTAATGGATTTTAGTATATCCCTAAGGTTATGTAACTACCCTCACTATCAAGTTCCAGGACATTTCATCACCCCCAAAGAAACCTTGTTACACTAGCTGTTACCCCTCAACCTGCCTTTCACACCCCATCAGAACCACTCATCTGCTCTACACATGAGCCTATTCTGGACATTTTATTCAAATGGAATCACAGAATATGTAGCCTTTCAAACATGAATTTTGTGATTTAAAGATTATTTTAAATGTATGCTCAGCAGCAGGAAAGAGAGAGAAGGAAGGAAAGAAGAAGGAAGGGAGGGAAGGCGTGAGGAAAGGTTCCCCCAAAGCATGTGCCCTGCGTGCTTAGCCACAGGGGAGTAAAATAGCTCCCTAAGTGCTGGTCGGAGCACCCCTTACCCTTGATCCACGGGAAGAACGCACCTGTGCCTGAGACTCTTCAGTGACCCTGGGAGGGAAAAGATGGAACTTCTCTGGAAATGCACAGTGATCAGGATTACTGATGCAAAGACGTAAAGGTGATGGAACAGGAAGACTTGTGTGACAGGAAGACCCATGGGAGCTCACACTCCAGCTGCAGAAGGCCTGGGGAGGAAGGATTTGCTGGCTGGCTATCACAATGAGGCAGCGTGCAGAACGCAAGCCACTTGTGTCCTCTCTGACCATCACAAAACAGACAGTCACCAGTCCTGGCTGGCTGCTTTGCATCACTCTTACCCTGTGACAGGCCCTGGCACTGACAGTAGCCTGGGTTAGCCGATGGCTGACTAGGGTGGGAAGGTGCCCAGTGACACCTCTCCCGCACCCATTGTCACCTAGGAGTCCATAGCTTTGGTTTTTTTCTCTGCAGTTTGCATTATCCACAGTCAAGTGCAATATGAAACTGCACAGAACATTCTGGAAATAAACAGTTCACAGTGTTAACTTGCATGCAATTCTGATTAGTGCGAGGTGATCTTAAACTGCCCCACCGGATGTGAATCACACCTGGGCCCTGTGTTCCATGGTGCCCCTTAGTCACAGAGGTACTGTTGCTGGCAGATCAACTATCTCGGTGTCTCAGTGTCTGTGCTCAAGCAAGCCTTGGCGACAGCCTTGAACTACATCATGGAGCCTCTGTCACTGACCTCAGCTGGTGAAGCACTGTGTCCCCTCAAAGTACCACCAGCATCAGGTAATAAGCACAATGGGATACTCCAAGAAACAAAAAGACCACATTTACCTATCATCATAATGTGCTATTATTGTCTGCTTTATTACTAGTTGATTTTGTTTAATTCATGTATCAAAATTGTACTGTAGGTCCATAGGTATAGACAGACCATACATACAGGATTCAGAGCTATCCAAAATCCAGGTGTATCCGGGGGTCCTGGAGCACGCTCCCCTCCCTGGATAATGGGGGCTGCTCTAGGTCCTTACATGAATGGCTACTTGGTTTCTACCTAAAGTGGGCACCCTCTCACCCTGGCCAGCTGGCAGACTCTAAGCAAGGCCTATGTCCGTTCAGCTTTCTGGACACAGCTGGACAAGCTGAAGAAAGGCCAGAGAGCCTTCTGTTCCCTGTCAGAGAAGAGTGTCAAGCAGCAGACTCCTTGTTCCAATTCCTCAGGACTTCCTTATCTGCCTCCTGAAAAACAGGGTTCTTCATTAGACCCAGAGGACTTTCACTGGATAAATACACAAAATGACACAGCGTGGCTACCAGGGAAGAAGCCCTTTCAGAGCCTCAGTAGGTGACTGGAGAGCTGTCAGCTTAATAGGTTTTTGATGTCAGGAGAAAAAAAAAATCTTTTATTACGAAACAACTTAATGTTTTGTTTGTTTACAGTGCTGGAGCTCAAACCTGGGACCTACCAGATGTTGGCAACTGCTGCATCACTAGGTTATACTCCCAGCCCCACAAAATAAAAACGTTAAGTTGTAGCTGGTTAAAGTGCAGTGATACGGCGGAGGCATAGTGCCACACAGTCAGAAGCCACATTACAGACACAACTGAAGGCTCATACAAGATGGTGTCCTCTATGGAACTCTAGGACAACAAAGAAAATGCTATGGACATTAGTCAGGAGTTACACACCCACACTGTGAGAGAAACAGACCACACTCATGTAAGAGGTTAGCAAATGGAGAAACTAGGACAAGGGGATCACTGTGCAACTGTCGCCACTTCATGGCACATTCCAACACCTCCTTCCTCCCCTAACCAGGGCTCACAGCTATAGGAAGCATTTTATCTCCAAATACCTGACACTCTTCATGACACCGTCATTGGAAATGGCCACAAAGTCGATCATGAATAC